GGGTTCGCCGCTCAAGGTACAGCCCACTATGCCACCTCCAGGGCTCCTTAAAAGGAAAGGTGTTTTGTTCACCTTTGTCGGCTCATGGCACCAAATCCTGTGACCTGTAGACCTAGGTCGGTGTGGGTGCTGTCAACGCCACTGCAGCTCGGGGTGAAGCTACAGCGTGGCGCAGAACTGCCCCCTGGGGTTCTGGCGGTCATCTCGATGGACGCTCACCTCCAGGTCTTTTCTCCCGTGGAGCCGCTGGTGGGCTTGAACGGCTGACCTTTTGGTGCTAGCAGATAACTTAATTGCCAGCCCACCTGGGCTCCTTTGTACGTGTCTCAAAAGCCTAACATCAATCCTTTGCGTTAGTTCTGGCTGATAGCGGCCCTGTGGGACGAAGTAGAACTGCCTCTTAGAGTTTCTCAGGCTGCAGCCCCCACTGAAGCAGCGGCGTGGCTGGCGGGTTCACAGCGCTGACTGTTCAGTTAGCAGCTGAGTGCTTCACCACTGCGCCACCAAGGCTCCTTGCAGACACATATAGAAGGCATTGAACAGCACTTGGAGGGGAAAAGTCATTCGTAGAGTTAAGACATCTAAAACATTCACAACTACAGAAACCCAGGAGGTATCTTGTTTTAAAGAACGAGAATGAACAGCTAGCACAGTGGCAAGCGTTTCCCTGAGAGGAACAACTTAATTACAGGTCTCCACATCAAAGCCCCATGTCCCATCCCGAGCAAGCGCAACAAATGTGCCCTGGCAAGTCCTCCCGGCAAAAGGCAGCTCCAATGATCTCCCCACACCCTCAATGACCGGGCTATTATTACCTTCTAGCCTTTGAATCTCCTCAGCTGTCACTTCCAGTGTTTGGTCAGACAGGGAAGCAACCTGGATGACCTGGTAGGAAAAAAAGAGCAAAACGTGTAGGTGTGTGTGTGCGTACGAGAGAGCGTTTTAAACAGAGGTAATACTGCCTGTGCTTTATAAAAGGTGCAGAAACATCAAACACCAAAGAGCCCTGGTTTAAAAGGGCTGCCAGTGTCTAACCGGAAACTGCATTCCGGCTCCCCTCACTCTGGAGGGGGGGGGGGGTGTAATTACACCGCAGAGAGTCACTGCAGAAGAAAAGAGTCATGTTAAGCATCACACAATTAATTCAAAAGCCCAGAAGGACATTTTAGGGGAAGAAATATAAGCAAGGGTTTAAAACCACGTTTGGATGTGCTCTGATCCGAGTATCACACGGTATATATACTTCCTGCAAACGCACACATGACCTGCAGTCGCATAGACTCACACCAATAACTCTTCATCGAAGAGAGACACCAGGGTGATTTTGCATAGCTTGATGACAGTATTGGTGGGGGGGTGCTGCTGGTGCGTCAGTTGAAACTCAGAGTGACCCTACCTACCGGAGAACGGAGCCATGCAAACCTTGTGATGTCTGAGCTCACGGCTGCAGCCGCTGTGTCAATCCACCTCACCGACCCTCCACTTTACCAAGTGTGACGGCCTTCTCCCAAATGAGATCTGTTTGTTCTTCTGCCGGTCCATGGTGCACTCAATGGTCTTTGCCAGCACCACACCTACAGCCCTTGCAAATAACTTCGCTCACAAGACCCAGTACCCAAATCGAGTTACACTGATCCGACTCTTGTTCAGGGGCCTTGTCCACGATTTAAAATGAATGTGCCTGGTCGGAAATTTGAAATGATGGAAGAAAGTGACCCGCCCCAGTAACTGGCCCATGGTAGAAGGGCTTGGAAGGGAGCTAGTCAAAGACGAGACGAGAGATGACTCGGTGCCCACAAAGAAAAATGTCCAGACCCCAAATTCTAGGTTCTAAACATATTCAATGACCTAGCCCAGGAGAAATAAACTTAAACCATAAGCTTGGTGAATAGTCAAAGCTAGAATATCTGAATATCTTTTTGACTTTACAAGGAAGTTTCATACCACCCCTGTGTGGAGACACACACACACACACACACACACTCTCTCTCTCTCTCTCCCTCCCCCCCTCCCTCCCCCTGGGGTGAAAAGCTGGAATCAGGAGACACCCGTCACAATCAGGAGACACCCGTCAGCAATCCCGGAGCAGGCAGCAGAAATGCTCGTATGCACCGACGAACCACTCTGTACTCCAGTGGGCGCTCGGGAACTTACCAGCTGGGCAAAGGTCGTCACTTTAAGTCTCTTGAAAAGCTCATCTTTTTTGTATCTGTAATCTGTAAAACAGGAGAGGGTAAACATCTTTCTAGGTTTATTTCACTTTCTTGGAGCTAAGAATCCATGACTTCTTTCTCATCATTAAACTGCATGCTGCAATCTTTTCCCAAGTTATTTATGCGCTTTTACACCGACTGGAGTTTTCTCTTCCTGGCAACAACACAAGCCAGGTGTGGTGGGTCTTATTAGCACGTCTCCTCATCCTTTCCCTTTGCTTTTCAGGCTGAGTGGATAAGCCAGCTTTCGGCAGTGAGTGCCTGACTCCACACCACCGTTGTCTTCCAGGCTGCTCCCACGGATTCCATACTGTATATTGTATGCATATTTGTCAGTGGCCCCGAGCCCATTTTTAGAAATGAATGGGACGTTCGATGTGGCTACAAGCTGCCCGTGAGGAGAGACCCGGGGAAGCGGAGTGGCCCCCAGGTCACACAGTTGGCAGGATGTTTACACCACACAGTGCTGAGCCCAGCTGGACAAAGAGCACTGCTCTTCCTGAGGTCACATACCACACTCGGGCTATAGGGTGAGGGTCCCCCACCCCCGCCCCCCGCCGAACACAAAGCTGTGTTTCATCTTCAAGACCCCCTGCTACGGGCTTCTCTCCAACCCCAGTGGAGATCAGCTAAGATAGCACTCGATGCAGTGCCCCCTACACCAGAGGGGTTCAAGGGCACCAGGTCTGTGTCTTTATAGGGCTGAGACAGAAGTCGAGTGGGCGTCTGGCTGCACGTGGCTGACTCATTCTTCATATCCCACGAAGCAGGCCTGAGCTGCACACACTTTATGTAGGAAGACACCTACAGCTATGTATGTGCCAAGACAGCTTCCAGAGAACATCTCCGAAGAAGACCGGCCGTGGAGGAGCTCCCAGGGTGGGTCTCCCGCCTGCTCCCACCTCTCACGCCTCTTTTCTAAGTTGTCAGACTGGCGACCAGGACTCCTCGTGATTTCAAAATGGCTCAAGGGTGATTGGACACCTCCTGTGGCCTGTACCCCACAAATGTCTCATCAACCAAGACCTCCAGAAACAAAGGAAAGGGTTGAAAGCATTAAAAAAAGTGTTTCCTTGAAACCCTGGATTATGAATCATCGTCCCCCTGCTCCCCTCCCCACAACAAAACAACAACACCTGCACCGACCAGGTGGTCTCTCTGTGGGACAATGTGGGCTTGGCTCACCAAACACCTTAAGACACGGGGCCAGGAAAGGGTCTGACTTTAAAAGCCAGCCTTTGGTAAAAAGACCAAGACTCCGACACAGAGACGTGGAGCTCCCTGCTCAGAAAGGTGCTCACGAGAACAATCTGGCTCAGAGCTGACCATTCCTACCAGCAACTCTTAGAGCAGCATCTTCTGAACACAAGCCAACAGAGTAGCGGACAGAAGAGCCTAGAACCTGCCGGGGCCGGCTCCAGGTGTGACTGAATCACCACAGCCTTCCCCCTTCTGCCGGCAACTCGCCCACCCAACATCATTGATGTCATGAAAATGGCAATAAATCACACCATGGAGACAATCAACAGCTTTCAAGTCATTCGCAGTAGGCCATCGATCCGTCCATCTCTCTCTGGGATGCTGACCTACTTTGCATTACAGCCTCTCCAATCCCCACTTCCCGAGCACAAACTGTACATGCTCAAGCCCCCTCCCGAGCGAGATGACCTTAGGTGAGACCCCGGCTGTGCCAATCTCATGATTGACAACTCTTAATGTTCTCGGCACGAGTGCTCGAACAACCCCCAGCTGCCCATTTAGCCTCAATGTCCCGTACCTGGTTCTGGTTTAGAAGGACAGCCATCAGTAGGACTCTCGGACATTGTCACCCGGAGGTAAAAGAGCCAAACGCAGTGTGTTTTTACCGCACTTAAGCTTGAGGTTTTATAATTTCAGGGTTTTTTTAAAGGCTGACTCGGAAAGCTCTGTCCGCCTGTCCTCGCAAGAGGAACAGAGCTTTAAGGACGGAGCTTCTGCTGCTGCTGCTCCCCAAACTCTGTGCTGAAGACAAGGGCTCCTCGTTTCAGATGTGTTATCAAATTTTGCTTCTCCAGCAAGTCTGGGGGCTCCGTCTGTCTCTCTCAAGTTACTGGAAGGACAGAGGCCTGACTATCCAGGATGGGTCACACTCGGTCCATCTAGCGTCATCTAGCCACCAGGAACCAAGAATGGCCTTTGTGAGCCGTCAATAGACACAGTGTCTACTTTCCCCCAGACAGAGGTGAACGAATATTCGGATTACAAAGGGTTTTCTTTCCCCTGCGTTTTCAGGGTTCTGTTCAAACATGTTATTAGCAAAGGGAAGTTGGGCTCACAGGAGACGCCAGATCAAGAGAGGCCACAGAATGGGCTTGGGATTTCAGAGCGAGACACGGAATCTCAGGTAACCCGAGTCCAGGGATGGGTCTGGGGTGTCATGAAACAAGACGATACCCTCCTCCCGGGTGACCCCAGAGAACACCTACAGCCGAAGGTGGGACAGGTGAAGGAAATCACTTCCAAAAAGGTAGATTCCCCCACGAGAAACTCAAAATAATTCTAGTCGGGCACCTAAGCCTGAGTGTGTGCGACACGGTGAGGGGCACCTGCAGGCCGACGGAAGGAAGCCACAGGTTCTAAAGAGGGTCAGCAAAGGACTCCAATCCTGATGTGCGGCTCCGGGGAGCTGACCTCCACTTCGCGTTTAGGTCTGAAAGTAACTGCTGTCCTGGTCAGAAGTAGCTCCAACGGGGCTTTGGTCAGGGGGACAGCACGGGCCGTTTGTATGGGACATGGTTCTCGGTGGGAGAGGTGAGGTGACAGACCAGTCAGTGCTGTCTGCCTGTGGAGGAATGAAGGATGACAGCAACGTGACGCTGGTGAGTAAACACGGCTGAAAAGTGTCACCTATTTTATATGCTCATGTATGGGATGCACATCTTTATATTTTAAAATTTAAATATAGTTCCATGCGTAGATCAATATGTAATGTCTATATTTATAGGTTAAAATATGCTCGTCATATAAAATGTATGATCACGAAAGAAGATACGGTGATTTTATGATTGATTGATTTTTTTTTTTTTAAGTTGTTCGCATGACCCCTCACCGCTGAGGAAAACGGCAAATGAAGAGAAGAGTGGGCATAAGGCTGCTTCTCAATCCACATTGGCCGGCAAGGGTTTCCCAGTAGGGGGGCGATTCAAAAGGAACGGAAAGATCATCCTTTGAAATGAAAAGGGCTGTTGTGTTAAAAAGGACAAAAAAAACCCAGCACAAAATCCAGCCTCTCCTGGATTTGCAATCCTCTCTCCCATGAGCTTATTTTCCGAGCCCAGCCCTGAACTGCTGCCAGTCAGAGGGGCGGCTTCCCTCCCGTGAGCAAAGACTCTCCCAGCAGTGGGTTCCCCGACTGGAGCTTTGAGCACGTTCCCCTCAGGAATCTGATGTTCAGACGTCTCCCTCCCTGCCCTCGATGTGTGCCCTTCAGGACCATTTCGGACCCAGAACAGGCAATGACGGCTCTGTGCCCAGGCACGAGTGGCATAGTTTGTATAGATTCATCTTAAAGAAGGAAGGGGGTGAAGTATGGTTTTTAATGCAAAGAAAACCAGACTGCAGTGTGTTGATGATGCAAAATACCCCTTTAAGAATCCATTCTTTCTTTCTTGCGCCTCTCAGTCCTTCATGAACACCCTCTGCGTGTTAGTCAGAGGGATGCTATGACGGACGGACGAGGGACATGATCACCCTGTCCCAGAATATAAGAGACATGACAGATAGGAGCCCCGTAGAGAGACCAGGAAGAGCTCAGAGCGATGGAACGAGACGCCCCAGAGTTTGACCACTCCATCCGACTTCAGCGTATGTGCCGGCACCCACCTCAACAGTCCTATGGACTGTCCCAAGAACCAGCCCATCTGTCTTGGAGAAGGATGGCCAGCATGTTCCTTATAAAGGAGGGTGGAGAGACTTCGTTGCATGTCCTCTGGACATGGTGTCAGGAGAGACCTAACCCCGGGAGAGGAAAGGACGTTACGCTTGGTCACGTAGAAGGGAGGGCAGTGAGAAAGGAGGATGGTGGAGGAGCAGGAGTGGCATGCTGGCTGCCACCATGGGCTCAGACCCGAGGATAGCTACCAGGATGGCCCAGGATGCAGCAGGGTTTCTTTCTACTGTGCAGCGGGTCACTGGGAGTCAGAACCATTCCACCGCCACCTACCAACGAGATCCGGGGGAGCTTCCTGGGTGGCACAGGTGGCTTGTAAGCAATCACAACTCTTGGCCGTGCAAACCTACCCCGAGGCACTGAAGAAGAAAGGCCTGCCACCTGCGTGGTAAAGACGGTCGTAGTCAAGGTAACGCTGTGGGGTACTTCCACTCCGTCACACACGGGCTTGGCTCAGAGTTGAAACCCACCCCAAATGGACCGGGTTTTGAAGAAACTGACAGGACCCACAGGTCAGAATCGTAGCAGCTGGTGAGGATGGTGCAGCGTTCCCACATGCTCCTTTGAGGCCCCATGGCCTGCAGCTCCCGCCCATCTGCCAGACGGCCAGGTGGGCCTCAGGCCCCACCCCTGCAGCGTGTGTTAGCCATGGGGCCTGCACAGTCTGCTCAGAAACATCCAGCAGATAGCACAGCTATGGCAGAGTTCCATGTCTCCCAAACCATCCAAGCGTTACTCACTCTTTTTCATTTCCTCCAGCCTCTCCGTGTACTTCGTCAGACTGTTACCTGGAGAGAGAGTGACACGGGGAGAGCGGTCACAGCTGCACAACGGGGCGCGTGTCACGAAGAACGATACAGGCCCCCAAAGCCCAAATGACCAACGTTGGGTGGGGGCTGTTTTCACTGCGCTTTTTTAAAAGGCAAATGAAAGCCAGTATTTACGAGTGTCATCATCTGATGAACGAGGCAGAGGGGCTGCATTCCCCCTGCTCCCCCAGCCCCAACACCAGGTCGAATTCTCATCATTCAACCTTGGTCTCACATTGTTCTCATTATGAAATCACTTGCATAGAAAAGGACACCATAAGAGAAGGTGCCAACATAACCGGCCCTCAGGAGGCACACCTGGGGAGTACCTTTTTTTCCTCCTTTAAGAGCGAGAACAAGGGTTTTAGATTCGTTTTTAAAGAGAAAAGGAGTCACCCTGTGAGTGTAAAACGGAGAAGTATTCCCTAAACCTTCCCATCTTGTTCGGGGATAGGAGATGCTGGGCATGAGGCCAAAATGGGCCAAACAGTCTCTGGGGTCAGACAGCATCACGGCTAGATGAGGAGGTGAGGGGAAGGTCTGGGTCAGGGACATGTAAGGGGCTGCACACCATATGCACATCCACAAGTTACAGTTTCCTGTGCTTGTCTGTCTTCCTTCTCCTTTTATGGCCCTGTAAGCTCCCCACGGGGAAGGAAGGCAAAAGGGGAGAGAGACAGAAGCCATGTCCTTTGAACGTGCCCTGAGGTTGCCCACGCCAGCCCTCCCTCTGGCTTTGTCCGGGGAGGGGTGGGGGCCCTGCTCTCTGCTACACTCGGCCTGTCACTGCTGGTGCTGATGCTGCAGCCTGAACCGGACCACAGAGTCTGAGACCCGTGGTCCCCTTGGATCGGATTCCTGAGAACGAGCAGCGCCGTCCCACCATGGGGAGCGGCCCCGGCCCAGCCGTCTGACGGCCTGGTTCTACAGCGCGAGGTCCTGGCCAGTTTTCCAGCATTAGAATGGGGCCAGGGTGATTCTGGTTTCCGAAGGAAGGAAATTCTAGCTCTCCAGACAGGGGCTCATATTATTATTATTTTACTGGCAGCCTTCAATTTTGGTTCAATCCAACCCAGCATGAGCTATTTGGCCCCTAAACGGTAGGGGAAGAAAAAGAAAACTTTCAAAAGAATCTCTCATTAGTGAAACTGTGTTCCTAGCTTTTTAAGCCTTGAAAAGACTTAGTCGGATTTGGCCCCAGTGACAGACATAGAAGTGCTTCTGGTTCACGGTCTGAGCTGAGCAGATGTTTTCAAGGCCTGCTCTAACCTTTGGGGTTGGAAGCCGAGAAAAAGCATCCTTGCTCAGAAACCCAAAATATGCCTGCAAGGACCAACTTGACTTGTTTGCTAGTAAGAAATCTTTACCAGGAGTGCCTTATGGACCACGATTCCATGGAGCGCTGCGTTTTGTTGGTTCTTGGACCCCTCCTAAGACTCATCCTGTCTGAACAGGGCCTGAAAGGAGGATTCACTGCCGACCAGACAGCTCACATGGTCTCTTCTGAAGACTCGCCGACCGCCTTGGAGGGGCCACAGACCACCACAGAACAGGAGTGGAACCAAATCGGACGGCTTCCAGATTCTACGGCCTGGGGCTGACCTGAGAGATGACCAGCTCCCTAGAGAAGAAACGGCCACTTCTTCCTGGACACACATCCCTCCTCCAGTACCCCCCACCCTGATGGGGCTTAAACTCCCTGTTCAGTTCCACGGGGGGGTGGGGAGACTGGGTGAAGCAGGATGCTGTCCACCTCCCCATAATCCTATTCTGGAAAATATTTCCCTTGGTGGCTTACCGTTATTGGGGTGGCTCTCCCCCACCCCGAGCTGCGTGTTGTAAAACCCCGCAGTGCCTTTCTTTGAGCTAGGGAAGCTTTCGGCAGTCTGGTCAGGAAGCTGAGGAGCTCTGGTGGTGGTGACGCACTGGGTTGCCATCCAAGTGGTCAACAGTTCGAAACCACCAGCAGCTCCGCGGGAGAAAGTCGGGGGTTTCTACTCCGGTACACAGTGACAGTCCCCGACACCCACAGGGGTCGCGATGAGTCAGCACGGACTCGATGGCAGTGAGGGTCGTGTTTGGCTTGGGTCACGGAGCGTGCCAACGGAATAGACAGCAGCTCGAGTTTACCCAGCAACAGCTCTGTGGGACAAATCAAAGGCCCGGCCTCCTGGTCCGCGAAGATGTCAGACCAGGGTGCCCTCGGGATCATGGTGAGTCAGAGTCCTCAGCACTGACGAGAGCAGGGAACCAGGAGGAGGACTGACCCATCCGGTGACCACGCGAGCCCGTGACTAAAGCACGACCGATAGCTAACCTAGCTCCTCAGACGGCGGCTTCTCGAGTTGTGCTTTCTGAGAAACACAGCTTCACCAGAGGTAAACGTGTAGGGAAGTGTTGCTTCCTTAATGGTGGGAGGTGGGAACCATTTCAGGCTCAGGGTCCCCCGGGGTTTGCTATGTATGGAAAACAATAGGCAACCTTGTTACGGGCTTTATTATCTTTTGGAAAACTGCACGTCCAACTTCCAGCTCGTTAATCTAGAAATGCATCTTTGTTTGACGTTAAAACAAAACAGTTTTAACGAGGACCGGCAAACCAAGTTTAAGAGAAAACAAAACAAAAAAAACTGTTAATCTAGAAACGCATCTTTGTTTGACGTTAAAACAAGAGTTTTAACGAGGACCGGCAAACTAAGTTTAAGAGAAAACAAAACAAAAAACTGTTAATCTAGAAACGCATCTTTGTTTGACGCTAAAACAAAAGTTTTAACGAGGACCAGCAAACTAAGTTTAAGAGAAAACAAAAGAAAAACAAACAGCAATGGTACCCGTGCCTGAGACATTTTCCCAGAGAAGGCTCTGATACCAAATGCCAGCACTCCCTGGTGCTGCCTGAGGAAAGTTTAAATTCTTGGCTCTGGCCTGGGAGGCCCCACAGTTTACCTACCTCTTCAATCTTGCTTTAATTACTAAACTTGACAACTCTCTGTTAGTCCTCCCGGCTCTCTAATGTGCCACCTTGTCCCCGTAATCATAACAGATCACCCACCAGAGGTGACCTTTCCCTCCTTGAAACTCTGACAGCTCGCCGATTACCACTCGGCAAGGCATCTGTCAGTGCACTGCTTTATTTCTGTGCAAGTCTTATCTGCCTTGTTATGCCGAAAGCGAAAATCAGGTCCACGCAGAGGCTGTTTGTATCCCTCCGGTTGCCTGGCACGGGCTGGCGCTGGGTGCCATCAAGCTGGTTCCGATGCATCTTGGCCTTCCAGGACGGAGGTGATCTTGCCTCCCAGGGTGTCCTGGGCTGTGGTCTAGCTGCGAGTACGTACCCAGGCCTTTTCTCCCAGGGCGTGTCTGGTGGGTTCGAACCCCTGACCTTTCGTGTAGCGGCCAACTCTGCCCCACTGCACAACCGGGCTCCTGGGCACCAACTGAGATGCACCTCCCACTGCAAGAGCTCCTGCGTGAAGAAGCCACATACCCAGGGCTCCGCTCATATTGCAAATCGCCACCCCAATGGGCTTGGAACTTTATTCGTTCACTTGCTTTTCCTTCAAACGCCCGACGGTCTGGTTTAGACACCGAGTGTCCTACTTCGATGAGCCACGGCGTTTCAGGACTCAGACCCCCTAGGCATGGACGAGGGGGCTTCGAAATGTTTGTGGAAGAAGCCCATGATCTTTTCCATTCCTGTATTCCACGATCTTTGAGAAGACCCCTTGCCTGGGGCGGTGTTCAGCTGCCCCTTGGTTGACAACGTGAATCGGGACCAGGAGACGGCAGACGTCTCACCATTAGTGTCCACACCAAATGGCCTCCCCGGTGCTATGCCAGGAAGAGCCCGATCGATGACGGCGCGCCTCATTGGTTAGGTCTTTCCCATCGCCCCCCCCCCCCCCAATTCAGTAACACTGTTTGTACTGAGCCAGCGAGAGAAACGCGTGGCTGTGAGCAGCAGTGGGCTAAAGTGGGCAGGATTTATAAGGCGAGAACTCGGTTGCTAAGAGACCACTCGGGGCTTTCTTTCCGTTCCATCTCTCCCTCCTCTACAGAGGCCTTGCTCGCTGGCTCGCAAGGAGCTGAGTGCTGGCTAGAGGCACAGTGGTGCTTTGTGAATCTTAAGGAATGGTGTGTGAGGATAATGGTGGCTGGCTGGTTAAGGGCTTCTGCATACACGTCTTCATTTGACCTAAGAAAGATAATTAGATCCCAAAGAAACATGCGCAGGGGCCCTCCTCTGTGGCGAGGCTCGGTCTCCACCAGGATCCAAGCAAACGTTCAGGGAAGTCGGAAATCGCAACAAGCGCAGAGAGCAGGCGGCCAGCTTGTGTGGAGATAAGAGGAGGCCAGGGTCGTCATGAGGCTAGGAAGGGCTTCATGGAAAACATCTAAGGCATTTGGAAGAGCTGGAAAAGTTGGGGGAACGTGTGGGAGTCTGCAGGGGACCTCAGCAAGGCCCAGTTGGCAGGGGCTGACCTAGAGGGAGCCGGGCAGCTCAGACCGCGTCCCCGACCAGCCTCGGGGCTGCAGAGCAGGGGCCCAGGCAGTGCTCAGGAACATTCGCGATGCCTGTGCGGTGTCTGAGCAAACACCAGTAGGGCTTCATCAGAGCAGAATCCCCTGATGGCCCAGGCTGGGAGGCTGGGGGTGTACAGGAAAGGCAGCTGAAGTGCAGAGTCATTCGGAGAAGGCCAATGGTGGCTGGACATCACAGTTGGAGTCCATTCGAAAAGGAGAGCCAGAGGGCCAGGGGCGAACCAAGCACTCCTCCCCAGGAAAAAGCTAGTGGCATCTTTGAAGAGCTCTCAGAAACTCTCACTGCGACCCCACAGGACAGGGCAGAAGTGCTCCCGTGGGGTTCTGAGACTCTATCTTGTCCTAAGTAGAAAGCCTCATCTTTCTCCCCCCCAAAACGGCTGGTGGTTTCGAACTGCTGACCTTGTGGGTAGCAGCCCAAGTGTAGCCCTTCTACAT